ACCTTTTCACCAGGCTTGCATGCCCTCACCCCATGTTCCTCCCCTCTCCCCCACACCCCATCCAACAAGCACAGCATGGGGAACAACAATAAAAGCTGCTCCAGCTCTGATCTAAAACCATTTCTATAAGTCAGAAAATAGATCACTTGGTGCAGTCTGTGTATCCCTCAGCTGCTCTGCTAAGATGATGCCAATTAGGACAACTCTCAAACAGTGGGAGGGATTTTTTAAAAAAATACATGAACATTTCTCCATTAAAAAGAAAACAAACCCCACCAATTCATTTTACAAATGCAATGGGCAGACACTAGGTAATAGGAATGTTTGGTATTACCAATCTATACTGGATTTTAACAGACGACCGCAAGAGAAAAAATACTGTGTCCTACCTCCATCCCAGTATTCAGAACCTCCTAGCACCTACTTTTAAAATGTTGAACACTATAGAACACACAAAGCATTATTTGAAAAGGCAGTGACAACTACGACATGCTAATTTTAAATGCTGTTTTACTAGTTACTGAGAGGTAAAGAAGCTAAGGATCTCAAAATTCGACAATACAAGCTATTAAATGCATTTAAAAAAAAAAAATCAGATGGTCCTGGAGAATATAAAAAGCCACAGTGGTTCTACAAATATTACTTCTGACCCATGTTTACCAGGCCTTTGAAAGTGAAATCTCACATATGTTTGTCAACGCCTATAGCTTTATTTTGAATACATGAAATGCCCTCACCATAGCAAACTGAATAGGGAAAAAACTTCAAATGTGTTTTGTATAAATACCTGAGAATTTGATTTTCCTCCTTCACCCCCTGCCCACGTGGAAAAAAATGAATACTTGTTTTAAGCCAATTTGGTTAATTTTGCTGCTCTATAGGGGTGTGTGAAGCAGGCCTTATTTGATTTGGATTTGGCCTGAATCGGGGACAGTGGTTCGATATGTTGATTCGAATCATTGTCCCTGATTCGATTCAGCCAAATCCAAATCTGAAGATTTGATGCTGATTCGGAGAATCAGTAATTCAGACATAGACACAGCTTTAAATGTTTTTTTAAAAACATTTAAAGCTGTGTCTATGTCCAAATCTTTCCGAATCAATTTGGAGGGTTCCTATTTGATTCAGAGAAATTAAAGGGTCCTCCAATTCGATTCAGATTCAGAGCTTCAGCCACCAAAATGGGCTGAATTGCCGCCAAATCGAATCAGGGACCAAAGCTTCACATGGACCTACTGCTCAACTGTTTAGTGCTCATTCCTTGATTACAAGAGATGGTACAGACCAACACTACCAAGCTTTATGCATCCATCTACAAAAGTGCTTTTTCCTTTATTACACAGATTGAGTAGTCTATGTCTGCCAGCCAAAAATATTTACTCTTTCTAAATTGTTCAATATATAGATGAAAGTTTCAAAATTATGGAAAGGGGTTTCCTAAAACTATTTTTTCTGTTGCAACACAAAGATGTGGAATGCAACTATTTGAGATCTGCTGCATGAAGTTGTTGGCACTGAATAGGAGCTTTCATCTTCACTATGTGATGCTCTAGCCCAAGTTGTTCAAAACAGCCCTGTTGCAACTACTGTTGCATGCCCTACATCCCAGCAACAAGTGTTCATTTAGGTAGGGCATGTTATCTTTGGATATTCAAAGCATAGGAAGTTATTAAAAGGATTGTTTTCCAGTATGAATTAAAATGGTAAGGCAGCTAAGTGTACCACAAAACTTTTGTTTTTGAGCAAAAGAGGACAAATGATTCTCAACATGTTCACAATAATAAGTGTAACTAGGATTCAAGAACAATGTGCATGAAATTCCTAGCTATAAAATACAAGGAAGATAAAGAATTTTCCATCCTATTTATGAACGGTCAGTCTTCAAAGTCTGCACTTCAGATACTTCTACTCTTTGCAATGCAGTAGAAGACTTCCCTACTCGCTTACAGTCTGGCCACATTTCAAAAGGACAATATAGTCACCCCTCAGCCTTTGAACTCCCTCCCTCTGCTGAAATCAGCCAACTTGGTTAGTTAAACAACTGGGACCTAAACAATCTTTTCGCAATGAATGAAGCACTTAATCCTGTCAGATGAATTCATTGGTGGTTAAGACCTTCAAGAAAAATTCTGGGACTAGGAGTCTTAAAGTGCTAAGATTCTTTACCCATCTCAATATGTCCCCATCATTTCCCATTTCTACTCCATTTCTTTCTGCCTTCTTTCTTCCTTTTTCCCTCTTTATGAAATAATAAAAAAGAACAATTGTTTAAAAGACACATTGCCAATATTTCTGCTTGAGGCATGTTTCATGAGGAGCGGCATGAAGCCCTCCTCCCCCCCGCCACAATCTACATTTTCCAAGAATAGATGAGGGTCTCTCTCTCTTATATATATATTCAGTGACTGTGAAGAACATTCCTGGTCAGGAGTCCAGAAGCCCAGAGGGCACATGAGACCTAGCAATTGTTCTCTTCTCCTCTGTATCTTGCTGCTTAAGCAGTTGTAAAAATAATTGCTACTGAGATGTAATTACATGTCCTTTTCCAGCCTGTTCTGATTCAGCAGAGAGCAGGTTTTAATGCCTTAACCTCAGGCATGAAAGTTGTCTATCTAGTTAAACAATTTTGTTCACAAAGTTGTCCCTCCACTTATCCATGGCATTTACTATGTGAAGAGACTGCATGGTAGCATACATTTCCTTGTTCTTTTTGTACTGTACTGGTGTGTGTGCTCAGACCATAAGTCCTTCAGGGGAGGCACTTTGTTACTTATTTAGCATAGCCTCCACCCACCCTCTCCTCCATCCATTACAGTTCCTCTCTTAAAGACTAAAACATTAAGAAGAAAGTGATAATTATGCACATTTGCCTGAAAATTTAGACCATTTGTTACCAAGAGTTTCTTATTTGCAGGATATTAGCAATAGGTGATGCAGGACCCTTGTATTAGGAAATCTAAGATACAGTAAAGCAAGGCATTTCATTGCTCTTTATGAGCTTGGTCTTTCAAGGTACTTAACATCTTTAAAGATATGATGAAGGATCATGTTACAGACATGAACAGGTTAAATGACTTGCTTACGTTCACATAAAAAGTCAGTGGCAAAGCTAGGATAAGACTCTTTTAACTGAATCCTAACTTCTACATCTCTGTTCTTTCTATTAAAACCAATCCCTAAAACCTCAGAAGTGTTCATAAATGGGGGGGATGGGGGGAAAAAAAATCAAATGGGACACCCTCTCTTCTCCAGCTACATGTTCAAAGGTTGGGCTACAAATGTTACTGTTGCCTTGTTTGGGGAATCCAGGCTCCAATGTGCTAAGCACTGAGCACACAGAAAAACAAATCTCTGGTATCAGGTAATACCACGAGGACAAAAGAATCTTGCCTGAATATTGTTTTCAGAATCGAACAATTAACTGAAATATGTTCAGGTTGCTAGGTTCAGTTACAAAGGCTGTATCTTAACACAGCTTAAGAAGTGGGGGATGGAATAAATTCAAACTTTAAAAAAAGAGGAAACACTGAATTGTAAACAAATAATTTGGCTAAAACAATCATTATTTAGTAACGACATGTTAGCCACTTCTGTTGGAGCAAAGACTGTTTTGTTACAAATTATTGTATTCAGAGCAAAATAAGTCAATTAATGATATGCAAGCCCATGTACTTAGCTCCATGACGGTTTCCCTCTTATTCAATAAATGACTCTCTCTCTTCAATGTATAATGTATGATCTAACAACAATGCATCATCTATAACAGATATTAATTTCATAAAGTCACTTTCAGAAGTTAGTATACATAAAGAGTAGCAGATGGTCTCAAAAATCTGCTGCCAAGCTGATATCAGAAGCAGCTTCTTGCAAATTTACCATGTTTGCTGTTTTGTAAGTCAGTCATTAGGAGGCAGCAAATGGCTCAAAACCATGTGAGACCACGAATGTTGTAGGAAGTTGTAAAAGGAGAGGATAGGACAGACTAGAAAGAACTAGGAGTGGAAAACAGAGTCAGGTATGGAAGTGACTTCCTGACATTTTCCAATCCAATCAGATGTAGGAAAGAGACGAGCATTTTCACAGACCTCTCTTAAATAGTTTGATTTAATGGTTAATTAGCTATCAGCCTGAAATAAGCCACACGTGGCTGCTCCGATAGGCAGTAAAAAGAAGAAAGAAAAAAAAAACAAACACACGCCCAAAAAAACCCAAAACACAAGGACAGAAAAGGCTCATCATGTATGAATTCCTTTGCTTTCTAAGTTGGTGTCATAATACTTCACACATCATGTAAACAATTATTGCCAACCAAAACCTGGAAATAACACAAAACAAAATATATCATATACCATTTCATCTCAAGCAAAAAAAAAATAAAGGTCATAACTGAAAGACGAAGATTTTAATTCACAGCATGTTTTCCTTAGGTATAATAAAACCAGTAAAGTTATATATGTTTTTTCCTAATGTACAACATAAAAACAAACTAATGTATAAGTTTTCAAAGTCAGTGTTTTTATGGTGAGTATCTGTAGATGTTTTGTAAAGGAGAAACAATCATTGTTGCCAGCAATCTCATATCATATGCAATCAAGTAGCGTTTGTAAAACTATATTATATTATGAATCAAAATATAAGTGGGGAAGTGAGCAACAATTTAGCATTTTAAGCAAGTCGGTAAATATGGGAAGAATTAAACTGAGCTAGGTTTGCACATCTACATATAAACTCAGTGTGTGTCTGTTTGACGTGCTTGCTGCATTAGCCTCTAAAGCACATATCTATCAGTACTATTATCAACACCCTCATGTTACGTATACAGCTACAGTAAACAAGTAAAAAGCTATAGTAACAATTAAACAAGACCTGTTATATTTCATATAAGTACATTCTTACAGCTGTAGAAGAACAATATTAGCAATATTACATTGGCAATCAACCAAATCTTTCAGCTACGATTAACATGTACTATTAATTATAAAAACAAATGCACAACTTACTATTTGTTAGGTGTCCACACTGTCCTGTAGCTCGAGTCAATGGGAAATTGCTACCATTAGGAAATCTGGTAGGCAGAAATACAATAAAATAATAAATATTAATATGCCAAAGAGCAGGATCTCTAGCTTTTCTGCAAGGATTTTTATTTCCACAATACTCCACAGGCAAGGTAGAAAAACAAAGTTGAAAAATATCTGTATTTAACCATAGCCCGGCAGTATTCCAGGATCCATGCTTCTCTAACTTTAAAACAGCAAAGGCTCAAAAGACTGAGACGCATCTAATAGAGCAAAAATCCAAGTTCAGTATCACTAGTACGCAGTGTGTGTCAATAAGGAGGACTGGATCTCCAAAATAATGATTAATGTATTATCCAGGTTTTTTCCCCTCTTTCTCTTTTTTCCTTTCCATTCACATTTTTCTTCTTACAAAATGCACATAGGTTTGTTCTTCCTTGTACCCTGACTCAGGCCTGGCTTTGAAATGCATTTCAATCTCTCAACACAGACTGCTTTCACTGCATTTAGAGTCCCACCAAGGCCCAGCTTTAAAAGCTACTGATTCTTTTTTTTCTTTAGCCATCCTCACAAAAGAAGGGTATTTTGTAAATTACCAGCTCGTTCAGATCAACAAAAGGTACTTTCATAGAAAGCCCCATTTGATTTTGCTCAAATTTGATTACAAGGATGGAGAAAAGGAAAGGAAGTCAAAAAGAAAAACCCCAGATGGCTTTTTCATTCATCTCAGTGAATGAGCTTTATCTGTGCCTTTTGAAACTGTAGCAGTGGAAAAGCATTTCTGTTGGCTTAAAAAACTTGACAAAAATTATTGGTTTGCCATTTCTCATGTAACTGCCATTGGGAACTGGATGAAAAGACTTTTTCATGGGATCGCCTGCTTGGATCAAAATAATGGAGATTAGGTATTTCATTATAAATTACAGTGGGAGATAGAGCAGGCTGTCATATTAATAGCAACCTGCTCATGGCCTTCAATGGTAGCTATTCTCCTAGACAAAGGACCAAGGGGGTTGTCTATTGAACTTGTACTTTAGGCCTGATCAATTTTCTATCATCAAGGCAAAAGGTGAGGTGACTAACAAAAGAATTCACACATGAGTGACCTCATAAGCCTACAGATAAAACAGCTTAAAGAAACAAAACACATCCTGAAATTATGGGTGATAAACTGTATAAAGGAGAAAGAGAAGAAGAGAAAAGATAGAAAGGAAAAGGGAAAAGAAAGAGCATTTGGTCTATAATTCTCCTCTCCCTTCTTAGGCGAATGGACACATTAAAAGCTACTTGTTTTCAGCTGCAGATAATTGCAGCGTTTGCCTTGCAATGTTCTGCCTAAATCTTTCTATGTACTTCTCTGACACGGTTCCAGCAATTTCATTCACAAGTAACCATGCTATTGTTTAATGCAGGACTTCAAAAAGCCATGTACACACAGAGAAAGGAATAAAAACAAAAAATAAGCAGAAAGATACCACGTTACATGCATTAAAACTGCAATCAAATCACAGGGGGCAGCGATCATTTCGGGAGTCAGGACTATTGAGGGTTTTTTAAACACAAAAGTTTATTAAGTGGAAGTTGGACAGCTAAGTTACGTGACTAAAGGGGTCCTCCAGGACTGAGGCCTTGACATTTCTTTCATTTGGGGTAATGGTTATTTTACACAATGTGCAGAGTAGCATGCAACATGTGTATGGTCTATATACATGCTGTGTAAGTACATTTTCTTCCTCTTTTCCCATGCCCACCAGAAGTGGTGGCATCACTCTAGAGCAGCGACATTCACCTTTTAAAAAGGAAAGAACTACTTTCTTATCTGTCAGATACAGAGGTTGAAATCCTGGCCCCACTCAAGTCAAATGGCAAAATTGCCATCGATTTCAGCGAGGTCAAGATGTCATCCAGAAAACTATGGAAGTATAATCCTGATTTTCCAAAAATCTGTAGAGAGTCAGTGCTGAAAAAAATCTTTCAAGTACCTAACATGTTCAGCATCCCTTCTTATACCATTTGGATAAATAAGGCTAGACTGTATTTGGAATACACAAATGCCTGCACTGTACCTACACTAACAAGTAATAAGCAGTGCATTAATCAAAGCAATTAACTCAAAATTTCAATATGGACCACTTCTATATTAAACTCATTGAGCAATAATTCAAATATGAATGGAACCCAGCAATCAATTTTTAATGTCAACCAAAGGAGTATGGCTAAATAGTTAAGGCACTAGCCTAAGATTTAGATTTAATTCCTGCTCTGCCCATCATCTTATGTGAATGTGGTCAAGATGTCTTAAGATATTTAACTATGGCTCCATTCAGCATTACAAATGTATAAAAGACTTGCTGAGAGTCGATAGCTAACATGCATTAGTTATCCCACTGTAGGCACACACCTTTTCTGGCAGTGAAGACAAAGCTGGAGTCAAGCACAATAACAATGCTACATGATAGGCTTATGGCTGTCAAGACAACCTGTGGGTATCACTGCTCCAAAACACACACTTCTGAGCAGCTGGAACAAAGTGGCTAACGTTTGAAATCAAGAGAAGCATTGTGGAAAACTTTATACCTTTTTAACTGTTAGATGCAATGCTAACACTGATTTGTTAATGAAAAATTGCAGTATATACATGACTAATTATTAAAGATGGCTGAAAAAGATAAGCAGTCTTCAAAGAAAAAAAATTAAATGCAAAGTTTCATTTTGTCTGAAAGTTTTCTTCGCATATTGGCACTTAAAAACATTCAAGATGGGGAAAAGTTTGATATGAAACTAGTAAGAGAAAATGGGTCTCCCTCATTCACTGTTTTCCACTTTGTCCTACTAGTAATTTCTAAAAAAAAAAATCTTTGTTGTGGTCAAAAAGGCATTTTCCCAGCAAAAAACAAGTGGACCTACAAGCACTTCAAATAACTCTAATTATTACCATTGTAACATAGTATAAATAACTTCACTATTATTCTCCTATCCAGCTGGTTCTGTGCTATGCATAAAGTTTGAAGTGTGCATTCAGGGAAGCATATTATATTTACTTATATGTCCCTTCATTAAAGACAGGATTTGGTCTACATATATTTGTTAACCACAAATATATACTGGTGTTTGGGCCAAAACCCATCTTCAATGGCGCGACATATATATTATATATAAATAGATTGATATTATTAGTATACTCCCTATATTACAGAAAGGGCAACCAAGGCATGGAGTGGTCCATTATTTATCCATTTTTCCAAAGAAAACCCATGTTAGATCCAGAAGTTGAGTTCTGTTGTTGCAATTACTGAACTCATCTGTTCTCCTTTATCACATTCAGATGAAATCAGGGCATTATTAGACAGCATTATAACTAGGATTGGTAAAAAGAAAAGAAACATAGGCTCATAAAGGAACTTAGCTAGGGGAGAACAGGAACACATGGAACTCAGACTACAGCTGCTATGTAACATTGAGGTAACACTTCCAGATCAACGTTTCCACAGCCTTTTTTTTTAAACTTTTATCTGGAGAAAAAGTCTATGTTTTCATGGGATGGGAAACATTTTCTAATCAGCTCTAATTATAACATCTAACTTTGAATGATGCACTGACTTCCAGAAAGTTATTAGAAGTATAATTCTTTGGAGGGGAAGAACAGAAGATGGAAGGGGAAATAAGAGAGCATCAACTGATGGATTTTGCAGAATGCTTTTGCCTGTGGAGAAGGAAAAAATCATTACAAGAATTTTAAGTGAATTTGTACTGGGGTTTATGTAGGCCTGCCACACGCCGCACACCTTGTGTTACTCTACGCATGCGGTAGGTATGTAATACTCAGGAGAGCTGCTGAAATGTCATCCTTTGTTTGTAGGAAAAGGGGGAAGGGAGGAAAAAGCTTGGGAGGAGGTAGAGATACCTACATAAAATACCCTGTAGTGAGAAGCATGCAAATTGAGCTGTGAGTTAAGAGAAATAGATGTGTTAGTCTGAAGTCAAGCAGAAGGTAGGGCAGGGGGGCAGAATAACTAGTTCAGAGAGGCATGAGCTATCACAAGCTGTCACTTATGCTTGTCTGAACCAGTTAGTCTCCATGGTACTACGCTGCCATGCCTTCTGTAAATGAAGAGACTGTGAATTGTAGCCCGGATCCTGCCTAACTACTGCTAATATTTGGTTACTGCTCTCTGCATTTCACAAAGACTTCAACCGTTACTCTTATCATTCACCTTATTTAGAGGAAATAACTTACAGAACCTGACTTAGGCAGCGCAGAAAACAGGTTCTAGTGAATAGATACCTAGACCTGATTTCTATTCCTGGTTCTACTCCTGACCTGCTGCATAACATTATTTTGATCTTTCCATTTCACCATCCATAAATTGGGGATAACAACATCTCTTTTGTAAAACATGTTGATATATACTAATCTGAAGGACTATGGGGCCGTGGACATTTGTTTGCCCAGGGACATGAAGCAGTGGCACACCTTCTGCCACCGCTACTTGTCCCCTCCCCCCCGGGAATGCCCATGCCACATGTCGTCTGGCATGTGGCAGGTTGTCGCGGGTGGGGTAGGGGAGGCTGAGGCCAGCAACTATGCTGGTCCCAGAACCAGCAGCCGTACCTGGGGTCCTTGGGGAGCTGCAGCTGTAAGCCTGGTCAGCAGCCAGAACATGGCTCCAGCAGGCCAGACTCTGGTTTTGGGTGGTGCATTTTGCCACCATGTGCACCACCTTGCTTTTTTAAGGTGTGGGTTTTTTGACCCTGGGATCATATATAGTTTGGCTCTCACAGGCTGCATCCAGATGAGTGCAGACATGTGGTGCCAGAGACCTGTCTGCAGCACTACACATGGAGAAGGTCCCTGCACTGCTACCTTGCAGTGCAGGGGTGGGGTGTGGTGCTACAGATGAGTCTATGGTGCCACATACTGCACGTCCACGCTCCTCTGTATGCAGCCTATGAGAGCCAAACTATGTATGAGGCAGTCTCATCCTGTTTGCCATATTGCCTTTCCTAACAAAAAGGGGTTAAAATATGTGCTTGGGTAAAGTTTGTTGATAGGATGTACATTGCTATCCTCATGTTAGTAGATCCAGTTTGCAGGTTTCCTAGTGTCTCCTCGCAGGGAGATTTGATTCTGTAGCTAAAGTGGTAGGACCCAGACTGACTCCTAGATTCATTACATTAGGCTATGCTGTAACTAAAAAGGAATACAGCTAGCTAATAATCCACTGCTGTTTCACAACAAGCCCCTGTCAAAGGCATTTGTTGTGTGCTTCTATGGTCTTGTCCACGCTCAATGCCAGTATGCTTCCTGTACCATTTATTCCACTTACTAAAGAGGCATATATGAAAATCATGGGTCCAAGTCTTAGCCATATCAAGAAAAAAAATACATATAAGCAGGGATCTAGGTTTTCCATTTCCTGTAGGAAAATGGAAAAACATGCAGATTTT